ATCATCAGCGCTGTCCGAAGGGGGATCGTAAACTCGCCGTGATGTACGCCCCCGTTACGGGACGAGCGCGAGAGGTTGACAAACACATTCCTCCTGCGGAGGAGGGAGCTGGTAGGAACGTTGGGTTGCTCGGTCAATGGCCAGGGTCAACGGCGGCGTGGTGCATTCCGCAAATATGCCCGACTGTGAGGGCGGGCACAAGCCGGCGTGAGTAGGTTAAACGTTGAGTTTTATAAGGGCACCACGGGGTGACCAGCCCTTCCCCACCCAGCCCCACCCCTCCCACCCCCCACCCAGCCCCTCCCCACCCTCCACACCCAGCCCCTCCCCACCCTCCCCTACCCACCCAGCCCCACCCTCCCCACCCAGCCCCTCCCTGCACGACGGACGGACACAATAATCCCCTGTGGGCTGGTGGAACCAGTGGGTTCCTACCCGTATGAAAGTTGCTGCTGCTGCTGCATCTGGGACTCGAGTGCGCAGTGTGGATGTGGTACCTTACGGTATCATGAAATCGGCTAAGATCTATCCACTGCTGCACGATTTGCTCCCCAATCCCTAGCCTTCTATCACGTATGTACACGTTCAGCCGTTCATGTTATCTTCTGTTGAATGAGGCTCTCCGTCACGCCTTGCGGCACGACGTGAAGGTTGTTTGACCGTACTTCACCACACTCGTCAACGTGGGTTGGCAGGGAGCATATGAGTAAAGTACAACAACACTCGTCGTTGTACAGCCCTCTCTCTGCTCCCCGCACCGAGATAACAACAATCTGCGTGTGCGTGATGGTCGTCCGACCTAGCACGCTCCAGGCTTAAATCCTGCAACAATTCATACACGTGCCCGATTCCATCGCTCCGTCTCCAGGGTTTTGTTATCCCCCTCGGCTGCAATTCCGTCATTGGTAATCGATCAAGGGGGGGCCCGCATCGCACCTCCGAACGATGTGGCCCGCCCAAGCCCACTGAACTCCCCGTAGCAATTGGTGCGGCGTCTCTAACCTGGCCGTGTTATCGAAACCAGTGGTTCTCAACCCCGATTTGTATTATTAGTACACACTTTTATTTAACTCTGTCTGTTGTTGTTGTCGTATCCTTAAATCTTGTAACTCGATTTTAAACCCATTTCCCAATGTGGTATCGACTGCCAACTTGGTATACTTATGTCATACTGATGACAAGACTATATTCTATAATAATTTTTTTAAACAATATTTTTACACACTTTCTATTAACTCACTCTGTTGTTGTTGTATCCTAAAATCTTGTAACTCCATTTTAAACCCACTTCCCAATGTGGTATCGACTGCAAACTTGGTATACTTTATGTCATACTGATGACAATACTATATTCTATCATAAAAAAAAATATATTTTTAAACATTCATTTGTATATGTTATGTCTCGGCTTGGGTCGAATTTTCCACGCTCAACTGACGTTGGCTGTAAATCACCACGGTTCCTTACGTTATGGAAAGCTTCGGGGCCAATTCCTGGAGTCGTGGAGTTCTGCCATTACCAGTAAGGTACATTTCATTAAAGCGTGTTTAAAAAAAAAAAGTATTTTTAAATATTACTTATTTTGGCTACTGGCACCCCTTTGTTGAAGTGAGTTTGAACCGAGTAACCCCCCCCCCCACCCCCTTTTGGCCTGACCCAACATGGTTCTGAGAAATAAATGTGCGAATAATGAACGTCAATATTTTCACCAATTGTCCATTTGGCGCGAGGTGTATCCTAAGTAGCTAGTAACTGCAAGCGAATAAAGTCAAAACAAGGGACGCTCTCCACGCGTGATGTAATTTGTTTACGCTCGCTGGTTACTCTCGGAAACCACATTACGATCAATGAGTTTGGAAAGGTCTTTTACATCGTTCTAGGTTACCGTATGGATTAAAATATTATCGCAGTCATTTTATATTGGCAGATTCACACGCGATTAATCACTAATGACCCTCTAGCGCACTATCAATTCACACGTTTATAAATCACTTCGCGAAACCCCCTTCCCCCCCCCCTGCCTGCCTAGGGAAATTGCCGCTTAGCCCCGGGGGTCCGCGTTTCCCCCAGTCGAGAGCCGCTGCTCTACACCACGACGCGCTCTTTCATCCCGTGTCTGTCCCGCCGTGCTGCCTTTGCGCGATTTTTAAATCCTTTATATTAAGTTCGCTTGCTTGCTTGCATTGAAAGTGCCCGGTAAGTGTCATTGCTTATTCCTAATTCCTCATAAAAACTAAAAATATACGGATGCGGTTTATATAGAGAACAACACGGGACTCCGACTCTTCTACGCCTCTCCCACGAATCTCGACGCAATGGATCACACGTTTCATTTTTAAATCCTTTATATTAAGTTCACTTGCTTGCTTGCTTGCTTACGACCGTGCAAATCTTTCGGTCGTTTTTTAACCCACTTCCCGTGATCCAATCGAGCTGACATTTTCCACACAGACTCGTTGTGCGTGACAATTAATTTTCGTGAAAATTTTTTTCCAAAATTTTACACTGTTTAAGGAAATTTTTTAAAATATTTAATTACCAATTGCTTAATGCTGGCAGACAATCATCTGACCCATAGGTGGCAGCCATCTCAAGCCAGAGGACGAGAGGACTCTAGCCGCCACGCATATAAAGGATTCATCGTGAAAAACTTTGTTTTTACGGGTTAATTTTTTCAGTTTGCCGTTCCGCTTCCTTCGTTCGAGTTCCCCGTGATTTCTGAGCCGTTTCGTTTTTTATTTTTTGAAGTGTGGACCGTGGCCCCGTCTCACGCGCGCTCTCTCTCTCTCTCTCGCGTGTCGTGGCGGCGTTTCTGGTGATGGCCCAACGTTGACCCGCTTTCGGATGCCCTCTCAAGAGCGCGCCTGGGCCCCGCGTCTCCATGGCTGCTGTTGCGTCAAACATTAATAATTCTTCAAAGGGTGATTTGGCGATGCCGCTGTTGCTGCTGCTGCTACGCCGGCAGTAGTGGTGCACGAACACAACCCCCCCTCAAAAAAAAACTAAATTGATCGGAATAAGAAAGGGTTAAGATCATGAGACACGCAACTAATTGCACGTGCGAGCATCTGTTCTGTACGTCGTCTACAACGTTGACCCTGTGGCCCAAATCACTTGGAACGTGCCCGACATCGTCGGATCTCTAAAGTTGAGCGGGGTTTTGAAGCATGAACAGGGCCTATGCATGGGGTGACCACCAGGTTGTCGGAGGCCTTGTAGTTAAGAGGGCTGTCGGGCAAAATCCATTGATGGGCCGCACCATACGAACACAATCTAAGCTCCACGCTGCTTAGCTTCTGAGATGCAATTTGACTGGGTGCATTCCAGCAGATGTGAACATAGCCGATCGATGTCTTGTCCTGCGTTTTATCCAGGAAAGCCTCGCCGAGCCACAAGACTCATGCTTACATTGGGATGTTTGGCTGATTCCATTAATGAGTGTGTGTGTGTGTATATGTACATTTTATCTGTGGGAGAAAATTGTAGTACCTGGAGAATCCCATGCCTAGGATTGGGCTCACATTCAAAGGGCTGCACACGTGGATTTAAGCAACCCACTTTCTGTACTGCCATTTCCTGGCTACTTTAGAGCATAGGGGGTTTGGAAGTTTTGCTTCCAAAGTGCTGTAAAACAGGTTTGCACCACCATCCATCATACATGATCTACTCATATTAGTTCATCCATCTATCTATTTGTTCATTTGATATTCATCTATAACTTAACCCATTCATCCACCTATCCATCCACCAACCTGCACATCCAAATATCCATTTGTTCATCCGCCCATTAATGCATCCACATTACCACTCACCCATTCATCCATTCAATAATCTGTTCCTTCATCCATCCACCCACCCACCCACTCATTTCTCCACCCAAACAACCATCTATCTATGCCCACACACGCATTCATTAATTCATTTATATCTTCATCCTTATCCACCCGTGTTTTAGGTGATCCATCAATTTATGCACAATTATGCTAATGCTCGGCAAACAAAAGTGAACGATCCATTGGTCTGCAACCAGCATGTCCCAGACAAGGTCATTAAGACCGACGTAGATTGCTTTGCGGGCCCACATGACATCATTCATGTTGTCGTGTGACAAGAAAAATCACAAAACCCTGACAAACCGTTGGGCAGTGAAATACTTTCACTGCGAGCTACAAGAGGCTGGAACGTCCACACGATGACAAAAAAACAAACCGACGAAGAGAGAGAGAGAGAAAGAATGAATCTTGTTTTCATTTGCGCAAATATTTCAATTGAAAAGTGGAGAAGTTCAGCTTTGCAAATCTGTCACTGGCGACAGGCGGCCTGCGGGGTGGCAGGCGTGATTGGACTTGGCCGAGCGGTAACTTGCGCGTGCAGGCGCTCGTACGTTCGTGCGTGCGCAGCGAGTTCCCACCGCGGCCACTTTCCTCGTGCCAAGATAAGAGGGCGGTCGGTGAGGCTCAGTACGAGGCCCTGCGACTAAAATAATATTTTTTGGAAGGGCCCCATCCCGATAAAGCACCGCACCATTTGTACGTTTGGCAGCGGGTCGTTTCATTTCCCACCGCGGATCATGTTCTGCCACGGTGCCGCTTGCATTCTTTATCTTCGCAGCTCCCCGCCGGCCGGCGTTGCCGGTTATGCTGCTTGCGAGTTTGATTTGCGTTTTCTCCGCGTGCGCAAATTACATTTTCCCTTCGTGGAATGTGAAGTGGCGTTTAAAGTTCTAAATGGGAATCCCTGTGACGTGGCCCGGAGGTTGCAGTACAGCAAATTGGTTCCTCGCCCCTCTGTGTAGAGCTCTGGGCGTTGTTCCATCGTTGGAACTGACTTCCAAACGTGACAGCGTGCGTCCGTTTCACAAATTGCTGAGCGATGCCAGCGCGCGGCGAACGTTCCCGAGCGAACGTCGTGCTCCCGTGTCCGTTGTGCGCCCGTGTCCCCCGTGTCCCCTGCGTGTGCTGACCACCCGCCCGCCCGCCCGTGCGTTTGTGTCTGTCCAGCGCCGTGGGAATGGAGCGCTTCACTCGCAGGACCCTCAAGGCGTGCACAAGGAAGTCGCGGGAGCTCCGCCGGGCGTACGGTTACGGCGTGCTCGCGCTCCGCTCCCTGGTGTACAACTCCGCCGTCGGGGAGGACTACGTGTTGGAACTCTTGTTCCAGCCGGTGTACTGCGTGGTGGACGCTGTGGTACCCTGGTTCGGCAAGGTGAGAGAGAGAGCTGGAATCCTGCCCGGCGGGGGGCGGTGGGGGAGGGGGGGTAGAGAAGTGTTTGCGGCGATAAATCTCCCCCGCACTATAAATATATATAAATATTTTAAACAATATGTTAAATTCATGATTAAATTTACGACGACAACAACAACAACACAAAATCCCCATTAATATTATAGGTACAGCTCGTGACACCGATGACGATGATGAGACCGAACAAGGCTGCCATGCCGTAAGGTGCTGTTGGTGACGGTGACGTTGCTCATGTTGACGCGGTGCTTTGTGTGATGACGATGATGATGATGACGGTGATGATGGTGATGATGGTGGACTTCCGTCGCGTTTAAAATGCAACCGCATCTCAGAATTCTGCACGGGGCGGCGGGGGGGGGCGGTGGGGGATATTAATTTATTTTGTAGATCAAACCAGTTGGTTTTTGGCAGAGGAATAAAAGAAAGGTCTTGAGGCTAGATTTTAAACAAGGGGAGGGAGTTGACAGGAGGCATGGTGGAGATGGGGTGGGTGGGGGTGGGGGGGACAAGGGGTTTTCAGACACTGTGAGCAGCACAGGAGAGTGAGCGACCCTCCCGACTTAATAACGCTGCTAGGCCGCGGCCACTGGTGCTGATGGTCATGCCGGTATAAATGTCCACGTGATGAGCCGCTCGCTTGGGCAATCATTTATGGGCAGGTCGATTCTGAAAAAGAAGCTAATAGCTCAGCGGGTTTTACTCGGCAAGATAAACAATTGTTTATTTTTATAAAGAGATTTGTTTTCCTTCCCTATAATTTGCGCTGCTATCGTGGGGTTTGTACTGTACTGCTTACTTTTATGCTTATTATCAGCTCGCACCGGCCACAACCATGAGCCGAGGTGCACCATTGTTCTCTTTTAGCCCCGCTGCCCAGGACCACCATCAGGCCATACCCCTGGCTACCCCATTCAGACAAGCCCCTCCCCCTCCCCTCCCCTCCCCTCCCCCTCCCCTCCCCCCCTTAACTTGTATTTAAGGGCTTGCCTCTTGGATTTTTTCCTCACTTGATACAGTAATTTTAGCTGTGACGGTCCCACCTGATGACGGAGACTTGCGTTGCCTCCGAAACGTCGTGATTTATTATTTTATTTATATTATTAAAAAAAAATGGTTATTTATTATTTATTTTTAACTACGTGACTTTACCGAACAAACCTAAGAGTATGAATCCCATTTTTAGTTTTACGGAACACCCTTTTCTCAAGTTGCATCTCACAATCACCCCGTGAAACCACTTGCCAAGCCAGAAGGCAGCAGCAGCAGCCGAGCAGTGAGCTGGTGCTACTAACAAGAGTTTGTACTGTTTGTTTGTTGTAACGTTCTCACCCGCCCCTACTGGGCATCTAAGGAGAAAAAAAAGCTTTAGAGCTCATCGGATTCCTCCAGTACAAACATTCTGATTCTGTTAGTGGGGCCGACTGCGATGTTGACGATGCGGACGATAGCGGCTGAATAAGCCTGCCGCGCTGGGGACGCCGGTGTTGGCTGTGAACGCTGCGACCGAGCGATGCTCTCCACGGTGCTGATCACGGCGATGACTACGGTGATGATGACGATGATGATGACGATGATGATGATGACTACGATGACTACGGTGATGATGACGATGATGATGATGACTACGATGACTACGGTGATGATGACGATTATGATGACTACGATGACTACGGTGATGATGACGATGATGATGACGACGATGACTACGGTGATGATGACGATGATGATGACTACGATGACTACGGTGATGATGACGATGATGATGACTACGATGACTACGGTGATGATGACGATGATGATGACGACTACGATGACTACGGTGATGATGACGACGATGATGATGACTACGATGACTACGGTGATGATGACGACGATGATGACTACGATGTCTACGGTGATGATGACGATGATGATGATGACTACGATGACTACGGTGATGATGACGACGATGATGACTACGATGTCTACGGTGATGATGACGATGATGATGATGACTACGATGTCTACGGTGATGATGACGATGATGACTACGATGACTACGGTGATGATGACGATGATGACTACGATGACTACGGTGATGACGACGATGATGATGACTACGATGACTACGGTGATGATGACGATGATGCCTATGATGACTACGGTGATGATGACAATGCCTATGATGACGACGATGACAATGACTACGACAATAACGACGATAACGACGACGACAATAACTACGACAACCGACCGAGGCGGCCAGCGTGCCGCGGGGGGCTGGCGTCAACATCCACGGACGTCCGTGCTGTCCGTGGCGGCCGTTTGGCGAACAGCGGAACGACGACCAGAGGTCGCAACCGGGTACCCGATACCCGTACCCTACCCGATATCCGGCTACTCGTACCCGGCTGGGTACGGGTACGGGTACCCGTTTGCGACCCTGGTGCGGCCCGGGTACGGGTACGAGTAGGCCGTGAGTCACTGGTGAGTAACTGTTTGTCACTCATTTCCCAACGTCTTGTCTCTTCTCACAATTAAAGTTCCTAGAATCAACCCACCCGCGCCTGCAACATGGCTTCATCCCAGAGGTCGCAATCAGGTACCCGATACCCGTACCCTACCCGGCCGGGTACGGGTAGGGTACGGGTACGGATAGGGTACGGGTACGGCCGGGTACGGGTACGGGTACCCGTTTGCGACCCTGGTGCGGCCGGGTACGGGTAAGGAATCAAAACCCGTTTGCGACCTCTGACGACGACGCTGCCACCCCCCCCTCCACCCGCAGGCGCTGGTGGTGACGGTGGCCCTGCTGACGCTCTCCGTGGTGCTGAGCATGTATGGCATCGTGTACCCCTCCGTGCTCCCGCGGGCGAGCCCCTGGGGCGCCGCGCTGCACCTGGGCTACGGGCACTGGAACCTGGCGCTCATCTCGTTCCATTACTACAAGGCCGTGTCCACGGACCCGGGGCAGCCCACGCAGGTGTGACGCGGAGGGGGGCGATGTCATCGTATTCTTGGCGTTGCCGGTGTTGTTGGCGTTGCCCACGCTTGTTCTTGTCGGCATCGTTGTAACCGCGTGCGTTGCCAGGTGCCGGGTGGATTATTACAATGGTGGGATCTTGAGAAGTGCCGGTGAGTTGGGGTTGGCCTTCAACCAGCAGGGGATTGGCTGGCTGATTATGAGGACGACGATAGTTTAAATGAATTTGATCATTGGCGTTGTATCTGTTAAATCTACCACAGCCTCCTCTTCCCAATTTACATCTGCAGCACTTTCCTACCCCCTGACATCCCGAGCATCTGAAGTGAATTAAAAAGCAAGATGCGTCTTTTCTACTTTCTTTGTGAAGGCTGCGCTCTCAAAATCAAATTACTCGCATCGAAATTGAAAACAAAAAAACAAAAAGATAACGGATCTTAATGAGCTCTCTGTTGTGAAATAAAATATCTTGAAATGTTCCAAACCTCATCAGTTCTCGGCATATGGGAATTACAGGTGTCGTAGGCTTGGCCTGAGGTAGCTAGTAAATGGGAAGCCCAGCAATGGATTTGTTAAATCTATTTTTTTTCCCGTGCGTGTGTTTATTTCTCCTGCTTCCTCCAGTTTTCTCCCACGTGGAACCAGATACTCACGGAATTGGCCAAATATCTTACTGAGGCACCCTCCTGAAAAAATATGATGAGGCTTTCCGAGGTATAAAGGGCATCGTTGCTTCTCCCATCCGCACCGAGCTTAACAGAGGCGCCGACTTACCGAGAGAGTTCAACAGGGTTCGATACGTTAATCCGCTGCCGAACGATTGCCCTGCCTCACGCCGTGTGGGTCACCCAAGTTATTCGACCGTACTTATTTTTGTGCGTTTAGTATCTTGTCCTTCCCCGCACCTCCGATTAGCGCGGTTGGCTACGCGCAGTGCGAAATACGTTCAACGGGCATACGTACATACCACGCTGGCCCAGTGCATGTTGGTGAAGCAGAGGTCGCAAACGGGTTTTGATTCCTTACCCGTACCCGTACCCGGCCGCACCAGGGTCGCGATTGGGTACCCGTACCCGGCCGGGTACAGGTACCCGTTCCCTACCCGTACCCTACCCGAAATGAGTAACAAACGCTTACTCACCAGTGACTCACGGCCTACCCGTACCCGGCCGCACCAGGGTCGCAAACGGGTACCCGTACCCGGCCGGGTACGGGTAGCCGGGTATCGGGTAGGGTACGGGTATCGGGTACCCGGTTGCGACCTCTGCGGTGAAGGCAAGGGAGTATAGACGCATGAGTACAGTACAACGGTGAAATTTTGGCGAGCGTCCACGTCGCACGGCCCCGCAGCCGCCCGCAACGACCTGGCGGGCACGACGACCGCCCATCCGAGCGCCGTCACAGGCTCCATTTTCCTGCTCCGCTCGTGAGATTGTGGCGCGACTGGGCGCAGGGTCCCGCCGGGACGAGTCGATCACAGGCGTCGGATCGAGTTCAGCGAGGGACACGCGGGAGTGATTTTTTTTTTTTTAACGAGGACCGGCGGTGAACATCATCCGAAGGTCATTTACGCGTCGCAGCGCGGTTGCGGATACTTCGTTTACAGACCTAATCTTTATTTATGACGAGCGGAGGCTCCGCCGAGATGCGACACCTCATTTGCATCCGTTTTTACATTTAAATTGCCGTCGTCTCTATGTTTAGCTCTTGTTAATTTTACCTTTGCCTGGGGATTATCGCTCATTTTCTGTGAGCGTGCGCGCGTGTTGTGACTGCCGCGGTTCGTCACCTCCCGTCTGTGACACTTTTTTTTCTTTTGCCGGTCGAAAGCGATCGTCGTTGGCGTTGCATTCCCCCGACGTCATCTCGATTTGAAGAGGTGATGGTGATGCATTATGTTGAGATGCGGAACCGAGGTCTGCTTTTATTTTCCTCGACCCATAAATTCTTCACAACAACAGCAGCGTAGCGTGGGTGTATACGTGAACAGGGCCCCATCATTGAGCTGGGAGTGCTCTTGCCAATAGCTACTGGCAATTGTGTTAACTAGCCTGGCTCTGCTGATGAGACCCGTGCAGTCGAAACCGGTCGAAAGTTTGCTTGCTAGGGCAACTTCTGCCGGATGGTATTGGTCGAGTAACGGGCCAGGCGACCCAGCGGTGGAGCAAGGTTGCGAGTTCAAGTCTTGGTTGGTTGTGGGTGGGGGGGGGGGTTGACTCAACCCATCATGTCCTCCGGGGGTCGATAAAATAGGCACCGCTATGTGCCATCGGAATTCGTAATCTCCGCCGCTGACTCGGGGCTGTGAACGGGGCGTGCGTGCGGCGGTGAGCGCCGATGCCTGGATGCTCGTGTGAGCAGCAGGAAATCACTTTGTGACTTTGAATAACGATCTGGAAAGGCAGGAGGCCGGCAGACTAAAACACGTGTCGCTCAAGCACGTGTGGAGACGGAGTTCTCTGCCGGCGGTCGGCAGTTTCCCGTGCGCTGCCATAATTTACGCAAACGGGGGGGCGGGGATGGGAGACGGGGGGGGGGGGGGGCCTCTTAGGCCGATCGTTCCAAACCTCTGGTATAAAACACCGGCCCGCTTGTCGCTGCTTGTCACGAGCCAGGCATTTGTTTTATCGGCCAAGGAAGCTTCTACAAAACCGCTTACCCGCCCCGGGTCAGCCTCGCCAACCGGCCGTAAATTTTTTGCCGCGGCGGAAGTCTGTTGGCCGCGTCGGTAAATTACCGACCGTTGTTGGCATATCGATGCGGCCGACGAAGGGGGTTTTTTTTTTATAAAATATGAAATTGATTTTCTGCTTCTGTGATCTACAAGATTAAACAAACCAAAAAGGGAATGCGCCCGTGTTTTCTGACGCGCCTAATGGCATCTGAGACCAGGGCCCTATTTTGTTGTTCGCCGTGGAGGGACCGTCTCTCTCTCTCTTGTCTGTCCTCACTCGCACCCGTACCCCAGCCGTCATCGAATTTCCATCTCTGCTCCACCGTAGCTTTCTGCTCCTCGTGCTACCGCCCCCCCCCCCCCTTCCCTCTCCCCACGCGACACTTCAAACACGATTCCTCTTCTATAAATGATCGCGCTCTGCATGCCTCCAGTCACGTGTGCGCAGTGTCCCGAGATTTGGTTCTATTTCATCTGGCGGTGTCGGCTCCGGGGTCGGAGGTCGACGTACACCAGCGCGCTACTTCTCGGCACAAGCTTTCGTGATTTTTATTTTACTATTTTTATTTGACCAGGTAAAGCCCCAAGGAGAGCTATGAGCTGTTTTTCAGAAGCGAGCTGGCTATCACAAATGAGAGCTCAACGGAGTGGCTTGTCAATGTGGACATTTATTGCAGTCAAATACTCTTCAACGCACGTTGATTCTAAATGTGGAGTGAACAACACGAGGACCCCGAGAAAAATCCACGCGACCACAGGGAGAGAGAGAGATTCAGACTCCAAATATACACCTGGCATGAGGGTTGGGGTCGAACCCACGACCTCCTGTGTACCAGGCGAGAGAGTTAACATCTCGCCACTGCGGCACCCCTGTCATGCTTCCCTTGCTCAGCTGGGGTCCACCACTTGATGTGATCTCCCCTCCCCCCACCACCTCCGTCTTTGTCTTTCTCTTGTGCCTTTGATCTTCCCAAGGAGGACCAGGCTTGGCAGTCGGGGCTTCCTGCGCGCCTCGGCACGGCACGTCCGCAGCGCGCCGTGTTGTTTTATTTTTCCGCGAATACTTTTTTTCCCGGGTCGCTGGCATAGACTGGGAAGTGAGCACGTAACTGCTCGCCACAGCCAAAGCGAGGGCTATACCGAACGCCGTGCGCCGGTTAGCAGACGTATTTTTTCCCCAGTCGCTGACCTTACCCGGGCAGATTGATTCCCCCTCCCCCGTTTTGATGCCCACGTTTAAATAGAGCAACACGGCCGATCGACGTCGCTTTTCTGAGATGATCTCCGTCTCACTCGGGGGACACCCCGAGCCAGCGCTGACTTTCGCCGGTCGTTATCCGCGTTCCCGCAGGGGTCCTACGATCGGGTCGAGGCGTCCGTGTGCAAGAAGTGCCTGCGATATCGACCTCCGAGAGCTCACCACTGTCGCGTCTGCTGCAGGTGAGGATCAGACGCCACGGCAGAGGTCGCAACCGGGTATCCGATACCCGTACCCTACCCGATACCCAGTTACCCCTACCCGGCCGGGTACGGGTAGACGGGTACCGGTTTGCGACCCTGGTGCGGCCGGGTACGGGTAGGCCGTGAGTCACTGGTGAGTAACCGTTTGTCACTCATTTCGGGTAGGGAACGGGTAGCGTACGGGTACCCGTACCCGTACGCTACCGGGTACGGCCGGGTACGGGTACCCGTTTGCAACCCTGGTGCGGCCGGGTACGGGTAAGGAATCAAAACCCGTTTGCGACCTCTGCGCAGTTGGGAGGGTGGGGGTGGAGGGGGTGGCGATGTTGATTGCGCGATCGAGGAGGGGAAGCTGATGTTCATGCAAAACGTGTTTTAATCGCGGTTATCCTGGACGTAGAAATAGATGGTGCGATGTGGGCCGGGATGGAGGGATATCGCCGATGGTAGGATTGGAACGTATGCCATAACAAAATGCATGCGGAACAAAACGTATGTGTAACAAGAAAGCCAAATCAAACAAAGTTAAGGAAGATCGTGGGCGTGCATGTTTTACCCGGATCTTTGTCAGCATGCGTTTTGTCTTCGGTTGCTGTGGGGGGGGGGAGGGAGGCGGGGGTGGGGTGGTGGAAAAGGCGTTCGCATATTTGCAAACAGTCCTCTTTTGCTCTGCGTTGTTTCTGCAAGTATTGGGTAAACGTTTAATCAATTTGGCCGGTTTGAAAAAGGGTCGATGCCTAATGGGCAAACGGAGCTTTATGCGCCTGTGTCGTTGACATCGCACGATGTTGGATCTGCTGTTTGCGTTTAGTTTGTTGTCCTTCCTCCGCGCCTCCGATTAGCACGGTCGGCTAGGTAGGGTGCGAAAGAAATTCCACAGACATACGTGCTTACGTGCCCCCCCGCCCCCTCCCCCCGCGTTACGGATGGCAGTACAGACGAAGCAACCTTCTATAGAAATAAATAAATATTGAGACATATTTTCAAGAGTCACTGTCGGCAATGCCCCCCGTGGGATTCCCGTGTCTCGCCTGCGCGTCTGCAGACGCGTGCCGTCTGCTGTGTTTCCAGGTGCGTGCTGAAGATGGATCACCACTGCTGTATCCTCCGCCACCCGCCCCCCCCTCCCCCCTCCCCGTACGAGGCAGCACAGCAAGTCTGGAGCCGGCATCGAAACCGAACATCCTGGTGATCCGTTGATTTGTCGCGAGGGCTCTTCGAGCTGTACACTGTCCTCCTAATAATATAACGCGGTCGCTGCGTTCCACAAGAATACCGCGTTATGGAAAAATTGCGTTGTAATAATACATCGTATACAATAGAGGGTAAAAAGCACAGTCCGCGATAACACGTGCGATGCGTGTCACGTAGGCTGAACAAAGACCGAGGCGCGGTGTAGGGTTAGCATCAAGAAGAATCCAGCAGCATCCCCCCTTGTGCGATGCTACGCCGAGGCGGCCGTACGACCGCTTATTCCGTAGTTCCGGCTCACTCGATCGTAGCCAGTTCGCATCTGCGTCAAAACAAACAAAACGCATTACCTATCACATTCATCGCGTTACATCCAATTTGTGTTCCAGGAGAACAAACTACTTTACCACGCTGGTCAGTGCAGGTTGGTGTAAGTGGAGGGAGGGGGGCGGACGGGTGGGCAAGCTTCGTTGGACTGTCAGCGGGCACCGAGTAAGGCCATCGCAGCGCAAGAGGAAGTGGTACGGTCCGTACGCAACCAGCAAACACGCCGCACCGGGTACTACGAATGCCGATGGGGGCAGGTGCTCATTGGTCGACCGAGCCAACGGAAGGGGAGACCGAGGGGCCGGCGAAGAGTTCGCTCGCCGCTAACGTCGGTGCGCTAAACGCCGCGCCATTCGTGAAAGGGTTCACCTTAAATGTTACATTTTTTGTTTTGGCAGCGTTAAGAGAAACGTCCCCTCTGTGTGCCGAGTCGGGTTTTATTATAACACCCAGACCGTAACTCCTGTAGCCGTTTGAATAAATCACGGAATTCACCACATTCCTCACGATACGCAGACCGGGTGGCTGCATTGAAATGTCTGATGTTGACTTACACGAGACAAAGATTCCCCTTGTAAAGCCTTTACCAGACCGTTGGGCCAAGCGCTGTTCGCGAGCACCTATTAAGGCCAGCACGACACCCGCAGGGGTGATGTGGTGCCGATGTTTACACACCGCAGCAGGTACTGATTTGAGGCTGAGTCGACCTAGGGGAGGCTCAGGACCGGTTCAGATAATCGTCACCGGTGTTGGCCATGAGCGGTTTCGTAGCGCAGTGCGATAACTGCAACGCTTCCACTCCCCACTTAGATTGAAAAGACAATCACACAGACACACGCACAGACTCTCATGTACAATCACACGCATACACAAAGGCAAAGGTGCCCATATAGCCTTTAATAGACTGCAGGGGGCAAGTGCTGTTTGCGAACACACTCGCATGAAGACACAAACACACTCAACTATTTTTTCTTTTACCAGGTAAAGGCCACTGAGCTCTCGAGCACTTTTTCAGGAGTGACCTGGCCACAAACGATAGCTCAACGAAGTGGCTTATCGCGTGCAAATTTATAGCAGCCACACACTCAAAACGCACGAGGATTCTAATCGTTGACGGGGAAAAAAACCAGAGGACCGGGTGAAAAATGCACGTGACCACGGTGAGATAGACACGCGAACTCCAGATATGCAGCAGGCGTTAGGTTTGGATTCATATTCTTAGGTTTTTTCGGTAAAGTCACGTAGGTAAAAAATAAAAATTGTGTTGCCTCCGAAACGTCGTGATTTTTATTTTATTTTATTAATTTTAATTTTTTACCTACGTGACTTTACCGAAAAAACCTAAAAATATGAATCCTTGCAGTCACGTTAGGTTCGGAATGGAAACGCCACGACCTCCCGTATACCAGGCGAGGTAGTTAACATCTCGCCACCGTGGCGCTGACACACACACACACAAGCTCCTAAACCGGCGTGTCCTTGAGCCCCTCCTTAACGAGGTCATCACAGACTGGATGGACAACTGCGTGGGCCACTTCAACCACCGCTACTTCCTCAGCTTCTGTGTCTCCATGACGTTGGGCTGCGTCTACTGCAGCGCGACCACCTGGGACCTGGTCACTCTCAGCGGTGACCCCGTGCCGGCAAGTCAGGTGGGTTTTTTTGTTGTTTTTGTTTTACACGGACAAAGACAAAGGTGTCCCCTTTGTAGCCTGCACGGGGATTGTGCGGCTAGTGGTCGCATCCCCAGCGGAACGCCTCTCTTGAGATGATGTACGCTCTCGTAAAATACGAAATAATAGCGGTTTCTTATGAATTACGTTTTCACACCCTTTAATGTTACTTCTACGGAACTTGAAACATACCTAAAAATATCTTAATTTACAATCTGCCCCCCCTCCGACCCACGCCTCTGTTAGCATGCGTGTGTGTATATATGTGTGCGTAGTTATATGGGGGGAGCGGTAGTGTAGCGGTTAGCGCGCTGTGCTACGAACCCGGCGACCCGAGTTCAATTCCCGCTCACGGCCAACACCCAGTGACGATTATCTGAATCGGTCCTGGGCCTCCCCTAGGTCGACTCAGCCTCAAATTAGTACCTGGTGCGGTGTGTGTAGTAAACATCGCCACTGGGGAGACAAAGGCGGTCGGGCGTGGTGCTGGCCGCCCACCCCCTCGTGTGCCACGCCAGCCCTTACAGGTGCTCGCTAACAGCACTTTCCCCAAACACTCTGTTGAGACTATACAGGGGATCTTTTTCTTTGTGTATGTGTGTGTATGTGTGTACGTGTGTGTGTGTACGTATGTGTGTGCGTGTACGTGCGTGTGTGCACGGCCACTGCTGCTCATGTCATCGCTGCCGACGTCGCGACTCCTCCGCGATCTCCCCCCCCCCCGCCCGCACGATGACCCCGCACGATGACCCCGCACGATGACCCCGCTCAGGCGGACGCCTCCGACCTCCCGGACGCCGCCGCCCTCCCGCGCTTGGACCCCTTCCGTCGCAACTTCCTCGTCTACGTCTGGGTCATGTGCAGGTAACGGCGGAGTGCGGCGACGGAGCCAGTCGGCTTGAACAGGACGGGGGATGGGGGGGGCCTCATTGCATTCCTTGCCCCGGGGCCAAAACCAACCGCTCTCTACGCCGCTGCTCACACACAAATGAAACTCTCCGTCTTTCCCCGGCCATCACCCCCCCCCCGACCCCCACAAGTAAAACGCATCCGGAGGTAACCGCCGCATCATCTCAAAGAGGGACGGCAATCGAGGGTTTCATCGCTGGCAGAAGAGGTAATGATCGGCGGAAACGGTGAAGATACAGAGGGGGGTATGGGGGGGGGTGCAATCGGTGGGGTAGCGAACAACTGCCCCGAGGCCTGCAGACTGGAACGTAAGTCCATCACATGTCGGGCTAAGAGGTGGGTGGGGAGGGGTGGTGGGGGTGTGTGTGGGGGGGGGAGAGAATTGAACTGGAGGGGGGGGGGCATTAATTTCCTTGCCCCGAGACCCGTGCCGGCTACGCTGCTGATAAGAAGTGGCGGCTTTGTGCGGACACAAAACAGCGGGAGCATGCGCGCGCGCGCACGACGCCTGCCGTATGTGTGTTTAAATAATACAAGTGTGCCTACAGAGCAATAATAATAATACTACAAATACATTTCGTATAAATGTCTCGGCACCAGTCAACTCCGCTCGGGGAACGCTCGAGTGAGTTTGATAGAATGAGCAAAGGAATGGTAAAGGATTGGGTTTGAAAGAAATCATTTCATTTGTTTTTTTTTGTCTCTTTCTGAAATGGCAGATTATTTTGACATTGCATTTCCCTCGATTATGGAGAAAGCCGCAACAAACAGAGCAACCTTGACTTTAGCTTTTAGGTTTTTTCCGTAAAGTCACGTAGGTAAAAATTAATAGTAAAAAATAAAAATAGAAATAAAATATGAATAAATTTATAAATCAAATAAATAGTGATTTTATTGATTTATCGTTATTTTATTTCTATTATTATTATTTTTATTTTTTTACCTACGTGACTTTACCGAAAAAACCTAAGGGTGTATGAATCCTTGCAGTCACGAAAGCTTCAAATCTAGAATTGACTTTAGCTTTTCATGCAATCCGAACCCGTAATCTTTGCTCGCGCGAGAAACGCCTCGCTCCCGGGTCTCAAGAGTGGCTTTGCAGGAGGTTCCTGTGCTCAGGATGCCTGGCCGCTCCCTTTGTTTTGCTGCTGACGACGACGTTTGGTAAAAGCCACGTCGCCTAAACGGCGCTCGAATGGGCGATCGCCCCGCATAGAACTGTGGCCGTGGGCAACTTGCTGTGCGACCTTCAGCGATATCCATCCTTGGACCGTACATCCACGCTCATCCCGCGTCCCCGCTGGCCGGTTTCACCGACCCCCCCCCCCCCCCCTTCGCTGATCAGCGTGGTCAAGTATCGATCGAAAATAAATAAATGCCCCCCCCCCTTCCCCTACCCACCCCACCCCACCAAATGACTCGATTGGGATTGTATCAGAACAAGTATCCCACATGCTGGTGGATCACAGAGCTTGGGTAGTCGCTGGTGCCGATTTATGGCTGCTTTCCAGTTTGTGGTTTCCTGCCTTCTCGTTAGTCGTGACCTCTCTGCTCATGTTCTTGGTTCTTTCGGTAAAGTCACGTAGAAGGGAAATAATAAAATAATAAAAATAAAACATAATAAAATAATTTTCACGACGTTTCGGCCACAACGCAAGCAGCCGTCCTCAGGTGAAGAACAGGTCTGTCTTGCGTTGTGGCCGAAACGTCGTGAGAATTATTTTATTATGTTTTATTTTTATTATTTTATTATTTCCCTTCTACGTGACTTTACCGAAAGAACCAAGAAGATGAATCCCTGCAGTCATGAAAGCTTTAAATCTCTCTGCTCATGTTCCGATGTCTCCCCCGTGCCTCCTCCACCTCCCCTGTGCCTTCCCCGTGTCTCCTCCACCTCCCCCGTGTCTCCCCTGCACAGCGGGGTGAGCGTGATCCTGGGCGCGCTCACGCTGTGGCACGCGCGACTCGTGACGCGCGGGGAAACGAGCGTGGAGCGGCGTCTCAACGAGAGGACGCGCGCGCACGCCAACGCTCGCGGGCAGGTGCGTGCGTGCGTGCGTGCGTGAGCGCTCATCCTAGCGTGCATGAGTGCTCACTTGGGGATGCGAGGCGTGCGAGTGGCCACGCGTGTGCGTGTGTGTTTTGAGTTTCTGTGTGTGCGAACTGTCCGGCGAGTGGTGGTACAACGGTGACGAGGATCGCTCACCGAGGATCCGAGTTCGATTCCCGCTCACGACCAACACCGGTGACGATTATCTGCACCGGTCCTGTGTCCCTCCCCGAGTCCGACTTAGCCTCAAATGCATACCTGGTGTGGTGTGTGGTAAACATCGCTACCGGTGAGACAAAGGCGGTCGGGCGCGGTGTTGGCCACCCATCCCCTCGTTCGCCGTGCCGGCCCTTCGTAGGTGCTCGCTAACAGCACTTGCCCCAAACAGCTCGTTAAAGCTATACGGGGGGGGTGGGGGATCTTTATCTTTTGTTCGCATGCGCGCATCCTGCGCCGTGCCGACCTCGATGTGAGCGGGCCAAGAGGGGGGGGGGGGGGCGGGTGTGTGGGGGGGGGTGTGGGGGGGGGGGGCCTTCGTCTTGCCCGCAGCTCTCATCAGCGGAATCCCGCAGAGCCTTCTTCCACCGCTCATCACGCCGATCGATCGCGAATTGATTCATTTACAAAGGGGTCATCGGAGCCCCGCGTCAGTTCCGTCTCCTTCATCTTGCAAAGGGGGGGGGGGGGGGGGGAGATTAAAACATCGCCAGAGCATGAACAAGCATCGAGCGTCCATTCCCGAGCCATCCGCCAACCCGAGTATCCAACTTTGGAGCATAAAATTGTTTAAAGGGAGGAAAGGGGGTGGGGGGGGGAGAATACAAAACTGTGAAGCGAACCCTAAACGAATGTGAAAGGCTCAACAGAATCACGATGCGATCTGCGTTTGTCTTTCGTGCATTCTGCTCTGGCTCTCACCCCGCGTGTGGTATGACTTGGCCTCAATGGAGTACCTGGCGCGGTTCGATCATCGCCACGAGGGAGACAAAGGTGGGCGGGCGTGGTGCTGGCCACACACACACCCCCTGTTGTGTGCCGTGCCGGCCTTTATTGGCGCTCGCTAACAGCACTTGCCCCAAAAGTCCGATAAGGTTATACGGGGGATCTTTGTCTTGTACAAAGAAAGGCCGCCACTCTTAATTATAAAAAAAAAAATTGCAATTGTCCAGCCCCATCTTACGACCGCGGTTTTCCTGCACATTTAAAGGACACTGCAGATCAGTCTGTGTACGCGTGAGCAGTCATTGCTGCACGATGAGAATGTATAAGGTGAGGGGGCGCTTGGGAGGGGGGGGGGGGTCCAGCCCCCTCCCCAATCTACGTGGCTGCCAGACGATAAGCTTGTCTCACAAGGTGTGAAATTCGCAGCCTTGGGAGGATTACAGCGAAATCTCGTGCGGCAGACTTTATTCTTTCTCTCTCTCTCTCTCCAGAGAGAGAGCGTAATTTTTTTTCGGCCAGCCACCCAAAGCCCGTCGAGATTGGAGTGGCAGGGCCCCCCCAGGGTCAGCCAAGTTTATTCCCTTTCATTGTCTGAAAGCTAAATTTTCACTTTGGAGGCCCGCGCAATGATTTCTTTCTGATTAACGTCCTCGTTCATTTTTCGTTTCCCACTTCACTCCTTGACGGTTGCCCCCCCCCCACCCCCTGCCCCTCACCCGGCGGGGCGTCTTTTTTAAATACAAGTCGACTGAGGGGCGGTAATTGGAATTGTAGGAGATTGCCACGGCGGAGAACGACCGACCGAGGCAGATGGAACGAGTCTCAAATTGTGCGCGCCGTGGGGGGGCCGGCGTTTTCGCTTCAAGGCCCCGCAGCTTCATCAGAGAAGGAACGCCTGTGGAGGTTTTTTTTAAAAATACTTTTTCCTTATTCTTAATTTCAAGCGAATTCGGTGTATCGCTTATGACGAAGGGGAGTGTCCTCTGCACTTTTGCAGGTGTACAGGAACCCGTACGATCACGGCCCACTTGGAAACTGGAAGCGGTTTTTGGGAGTCGGGCACAAAAGGTAAACATCCACCTGCATCCTAATTACCAGGTAAGGCTCACCGAGCTATGCAATTCTTTTTCGGAAGCGACCTGGCCACAGATCATAGCTCAACGAAGTGGCTTATCACGTGGAAATGTATTGCGGCCAAATACTCTAAATGCGTGTTTATTCGAAATGTGGAGGGAGGACCCAGAGAAAAATCCACGCGATCACGGGGAGAGAGAACACGCTAATTCCACATATACAGGACGTCAGGGTCGGAATCGAACCCACGACCTCCTGGACTTGGCAAACTGGAGGCTTGTGAACACTTAAAACTGTCTCCCCACCCTATCCAAGATCTCTGGATAGGGTGGGTGTAGGCTCGTTCCGTTAGCAAGCGGTATCGTTAACACTTTTATCGGATACCACCCACAACGCATGGAGCGTGTGCGTGTTAAAATATGAATACTCGCATTCAAAACGGTGGTGGAGGGAGGTCCTTACTTGAAACGCCCTAGCCGAGGGGGTGGACTTAAAAGGTTCCGTGTAATCTGTGGTGTGGGGATTTGAACCCCGCGTCATCAGCTCGTTAAAACTAATCCGCTTCGTGTTCGCTGCAGCCTTCCCACGATCACTTTTAGCCCCCCCCACCGACCCCCCTTCACCCAGACTCGTGAAATTGTGTCTCTGCCACCCGCGACTGCCGTTTTCCTCTGGCTTTTTAAAGCTTTTCATATTCCAATTTGATTTATGCGGTTTAAGTAAAAAACTAGCGTCGTTTTTAGAATCATAACCCCGAAAAATTCTCACCTGAACTTCAAATAAATTGTCGATAAACCCCGCAAGGGCTAACCCTTGCATAAGTAATTCTCCATCTCACCGAGCCCGCATCCGATTACGAATATAAAGAAGTCAATTATTTCCGGACGGTAATGTGTGGCTGCACTCCACTGCTCAGTCGAGATGAGATGAGATTCTGGGCCCCAAGCCCCACCTCTTCCTCCTCCCCCCAACCCCAATTTTGAGAACGCGGCTCGACGAATCCACCCGACCTCCAATCGACCGCGCGGGTCGAACTCTGCAGATTTAAGCGGTCACCTTTGCTCCGCATTCCGCCTCTCGAGTGACGCAAATTGCCGTCAAATCCGTTGGCCGAGCTCGACACAAACATCCCCCCTCCCCCCCACTGGTTCCGTCGCTTCACCCCGTATCCCGCACCCCGCCCGCCCGTGTTTCCCATCAGGCACTGGGCCACGCGAGTCCTGCTGCCGTCCGCGCACCTTCCCGCGGGCGACGGAGCGTTGTGGAACGCGTGATGTGTCCGCTCACAACCCATTTCTTCTCTCCATCCGGTCGCTTCAACGTCAGCGTCCCCGCAACAAACGGCAGCTTTTCAACCCGGAGCGATCGCCGATTAGTCAACACCAAGCTGGAAACGCAACGGCCCTTGCCTAAGGCCGTTGTGTGAAACGTGCGAGTTGGCGGCCTTGCCAAATTGCGTTTGAAGTGTAGCTTTACTGCTGTTATTCGTGGGTACTTGTTTTAGTTCCAACCTGACCAAGCCGAGAGTGCGAAACGTCGGACATCGTGCTAAACAGCAGAGGCGGTACAACCCAGAATCACGCATCCTATGCAGTTGGAGATTAAAATTATATTTTGTTGGCCAATGCACATTTTTGAAAATTCAAGTTGAAGATTTTCATCTACTCTGGGCAAGGCTGAATTGTTTACAAATCAAAATAAGAGTTGATGTAGTGCCTTGAATTTACATTGCCTTTTTCAGATTTTTACTTCAACTTACATCTCATAATTGTAATTTAAAAATATATTTGAAATTACTTTCTAGCACTAGTCTCTACATACTACTGAACAATGCACTTACAATTATTTAAACTTTGGGCGAACGGTTGTGTTAATTGCGTCGAGAATTCACGTTATTCCCAGGCCTTGCGATACAACACGGTCGTCGGTCAAACCTTTTTTAAAAGCAGCGAGATCGAACAGTAACGCTTGGCACGCTCCAGAAAAACCTTTAATTAGCACGATTGCACGGATGGGGGTGGGGAGGGGGGAAGGTACAAAAAGGCCTTTGCGTTAATTCAACAAACAACACGCCCCTGTCTCATCCACGCTGTGAAATGCTCGCGGAACAGCGGAGGGTGCGGCTGAATCCACCTTGTCCTCCTTCCACTGGGCAGCCAATCCTCGCGGCGGCGGCGAACCCGACGGCTTAATTACAATTCGCAGTAAAGCCTCTTAACCCCCGGGGGGCCGGCTGCGTGTATATTGCGCAGATTTAAAACGTTACTGATCGCTGCGGGTTGCAGGAAGAGGTCACGCCCAAGATTGGTGGGAGTGAGCAGGCAGAGAGGGAGGTCATGTTGCCTGCCTTCATCGTCATCCTCCCCTCCTCCTCCTGCTCCCTCATCTTCCCCACACCTCTCTCACCCCACTCCGAGCATCCCGCCGTCGTAGACCAAGCGGGGTCTAATGCCTTGGGCAGAACACATGGCATGGCGGTGGGGGGGGGGGGGATCCAATCTTCGCAGTGGGCGAATCCAAAAAGAAGATGAGCGATTAGGATTAAGGGCAATCTGTTTGCGGGTCGGCTGCTCGGTGTGGAGGTCTTTCCAGGTGCGAGGAAGGCGCCTGTCAGCAGCCCAGCATGTACCTGGCGCGGGCGGGCACGGCACACGCACGGCACACGACCTCATTAGCAGTGCAGACCACACACTCGCCCTTTTACACTTGCACGGGCAGGTGAAGGCACAGCCCTGCAACTGCTTGCAGATACCACTGCTGGTGGAAGGGGCTGCAGCAGCAGGAGGATATCCTCTTCCACAGCAGTGAACCATCTTAGAGGTGGTGGGAGTCCACTCACCCCCTTCACACAGGCGGGCTTCCCTTTATGCCGCGAGGCAGGCAGAGTCAGAGGAGGGATTCGAGAAACCTGCCCCACATTTTCAACTGCTACTCTGGCAGAACAAATAAACTACATCTGACACCAAGTGCCAACCATTACCCCATTGCAGCCACGCCCGCCACACAAAGCTATATACCAGTGGAGGACTTTCCCTCTCGAGGACTTTAAAATTCTTTTTAGCGGGCCACGCAATAAACAACACCGCCAACACTGACCTGCCTGTGTCAAGGGGCCCTTGCGGAGACAACGGCACCATCACATTAGTTGTTGGTGCCCAGTTTTCTAAAAATGGCCCTTCTTAGTCCCCAATTACAGTGTGGCTAGGACATTTTAAACGGCGGGTACAATTTAATGTGCAGGCTGTTTTCGAAGCGGTTATATAGCATCAAGGCCCACAGGCTGTGGTCCGATATAGTAGTGGGCCATACGGGGGGCACGTGGGCCACATGAACTGCGGGAGCGTGGCCACGTTTGGCCAACAGGCTGTAGTTTCCCCGCTCCGCGACCCCTCAGACGCTCCAGGTGTACCAGGTGCAGCGTGGGAAATCTGCGCCACTCACTGTGTGAGAAAAACTCCAGATGGCATCGCCTCAAGAAGCTGCCCCCCCCTACCCCCCACACACACCCCCCTTCTTCCAGTGCTTGGGAAAGAGCCAATCCAAACTGGGCACGCAAGGGCACCCTGGGTCACGTGGGGCAGATGCGTGCGAGCGAGCGAGTGACCTCTGCTCTCCTTGCATCTCCACCGGCTGTCGCAGCCCAAGCGCTGATTGCGTGCGTTAGTGCTGCTACACGCGTCAGATTGTTTGTGTCCTTTATGTAACTGGGAGATTCACGAAACCCATCGAGACGCGGGAAAACATCGCCTCCGTTCCAGGGAAGGAGATATTTAAAAAAAAAAACCTACGGCTGAAAAAAAAACCCTGTTTAAACAAGCAATCAAAATAGGCTTCAAGTGTGTTCTGCTTTAAATAATTTAACCTTTTAGAGTGTGGCTTTTTTTATACCAAAGAAAAGGATATTTTACAAGCATTTGATATTATGTTCAAAGCCTCAATAAACTGGAACGTGTAAAATGTACAGCCCTTTGTGTTTTCCACCGCCCCCTGTGAGATTTGGTGATTGTGGGCGAGTGAGCGGACGAGCCAGCATTAGTGAGCGAGCAAATCCATTGTGTGTGGGCGAGTGCGTGTTTGTATGCCCAGAGGGCGACTTAACTTGTGGCCCAGCGTGCACGAGCGTGCCACGAGCGTGCACGAGCGTGCCGTCGTTTGTGAACAAGCGAGTCGGTGCGCGTTGAGGCGGTCACGGCGAGCCAGGGGCCCAGCGTGTGCACGCACGCATGCTGTGTACTCACCACGTGCTGTGTACTCACCACGTGCTGTGTACTCACCACGTGCTGTGTACTCACCACACACTCACCACGTGCCGTGTACTCACCACACACTGTGTACTCACCACATACTCACCACACACTGTGTACTCACCACGCGCCGTGTACTCACCACGTACTTACCACGTACTCACCACACACTGTGTACTCACCACGTACTCATCACGTGCGTGTACTCCCACACACTGTGTACTCACCAGTGTACTCACCACACACCGTGTACTCACCACGCGGTCCGAGCTTCCACGGCCTCCTTGCGCACCAGCCGTTTGTGGTCGTCCAGTGCCGTGCCCAGCGCGTGTATTACCGCCTGCTTGTGCGGCAGCACCTGACAGGACAACAGCACAGTGTCGCAACAACACCGACACGTCTCAGCAGCAACAGCAGCAGCGTCACAACAGCAGCAGTGTCACAACAACACCGACACGTCTCAGCAGCAACAGCAGCAGCGTCACAACAGCAGCAGTGTCACAACAACACCGACACGTCTCAGCAGCAACAGCAGCAGCGTCACAACAGCAGCGTCGCAACAACACCGACACGTCTCAGCAGCAACAGCAGCAGCAGCAACAGCAGCAGTGTCACAACAACACCGACACGTCTCAGCAGCAACAGCAGCAGCGTCACAACAGCAGCAGCGTCACAACAGCAGCGTCGCAACAACACCGACACGTCTCAGCAGCAACAGCAGCAGCGTCACAACAGCAGCGTCGCAACAACACCGACACGTCTCAGCAGCAACAGCAGCAGCGTCACAACAGCAGCAGTGTCACAACAACACCGACACGTCTCAGCAGCAACAGCAGCAGCAGCAGCAACAGCAGTGTCACAACAACACCGACACGTCTCAGCAGCAACAGCAGCAGCGTCACAACAGCAGCAGTGTCACAACAACACCGACACGTCTCAGCAGCAACAGCAGCAGCGTCACAACAGCAGCGTCGCAACAACACCGACACGTCTCAGCAGCAACAGCAGCAGCAGCAACAGCAGCAGTGTCACAACAACACCGACACGTCTCAGCAGCAACAGCAGCAGCGTCACAACAGCAGCAGCGTCACAACAGCAGCGTCGCAACAACACCGACACGTCTCAGCAGCAACAGCAGCAGCGTCACAACAGCAGCGTCGCAACAACACCGACACGTCTCAGCAGCAACAGCAGCAGCGTCACAACAGTAGCAGTGTCACAACAACACCGACACGTCTCAGCAGCAACAGCAGCAGCGTCACAACAGCAGCGTCGCAACAACACCGACACGTCTCAGCAGCAACAGCAGCAGCGTCACAACAGCAGCGTCGCAACAACACCGACACGTCTCAGCAGCAACAGCAGCAACAGCAGCAGCGTCACAACAGCAGCGTCGCAACAACACCGACACGTCTCAGCAGCAGCAGCAGCAGCGTCGCAGCAACACCGACACGTCTCAGCAGCAACAGCAGCAACAGCAGCAGCGTCACAACAGCAGCGTCGCAACAACACCGACACGTCTCAGCAGCAGCAGCAACAGCAGCAGCGTCACAACAGCAGCGTCGCAACAGCAGCGGTGTCGCAAACAACACGAGCGTCGCAACAACGCTGGCGTCACAACAACGCTGGCGTATCAGCAGCAGCGGGCTCATCACCTTCAGAAGTGGCTCGCTGCCACCGTTCGGCGAAGGTGGCGGCATTCGGTAAAATTGCGGTGTTTGCGCGACAGTGCCTTGCAGCGTAACCTGTACTGTACGTTTGCGTACCTTGCCTCTTCTTCTCCCCACGTGATTCTGAACCCCTTTCACCTCGGGGAAATTTTCTAAACAAATAAGAATTCGTCTTCTGCACGATAAGTCTCATTGTTGTGTGGGGTCGGCTGCTAATTTCCCCCACCCCCAGATTCACTCCTTCGCCTTTATTCTTCGCAGAGCTAATCGGTCGCTTCGTAAAAAAAAAAATTAGGTGGCGGGGGGGGAGGGGGGGAGTGGAAATAAAGAAAGAAATTTATTTTAATGCGCCGAGCGGCTCAGAGTTGATTTGATGGACACGAAATGAAGGAACGGCGCGCGGTAAGTGGGTTTTTAAAATCGTCAGCCTGCCGCTTAAGCCGGCCTGGGCGCTGTGAAGACATTAGTATGCACCTTGTCGCACGGAAGTGCTCCCAATTGCGCGACGCGTTTAATGAGCACAAGGGTTGCCATGGTTTGAGGTCGTCGCGGAAAGCGAGCGCTCATTAGCGCCGACGATTGGAGTGGCGCGGTCGTGGGCCTCGCACGCAAATGTTTGTCATCGCCGGTGGCGTGGACCTTCGGGGTCAGGTGGGGGTGGGGGGGGTGCAGCCACTGCCGAATGAAGACGATTGGTGGCCGCTCGGTTTTCATGGATAATTTGGAAACGCGTCCATTCTGAAAGGCAATCTCCGGCGACCATTCGCGTGCAAGCGAAGCGATCCGCGGCGTTTATGCGAGCGGTTATGGAAGTGGAGGGATGGTGGTGGTGGTGATGAGCTCATTTCGCGTTTCTGTACGGTGCACTTAAAGTACACGCGCTTGGCGATTGGAGACTGCTCATTGGAGACTAGCGCGGTGTTGC